GGGTGTGAGGATTGGTGAAGGTGACAAGAGGTCTTGTTTGGTTGGGGTATGTGTATGACAGCTGTGAAAGGTGGTGAAGGGTAACTTTAGGGAGTATTGTGAAGTTTGGAGTGTTTGGTGATGAGATGTGAAAACAGTGTAGATGGGTGAATAGGTGTGAAGATAGATGGGTGAATAAGTGTGAAGGCTTTCTTGTTCAAAAACTGGTTGAAGGCCGGTTTGAGTGTGAAAAGATGTGAAAAACACTGGTAAGATGGGTGAGGAAGTGTGAAAGGTGGTGAAATACTTTGCATGTGTTCGACTTAGAGCCTTGCTAGGTCACAAAAGATGCATCTGCCCGCTTTCCTTGGGATCCGCTGCGAGGATACATGTGATAGTACCCTCGGGTCGGGTCGAAGTTTCAGGTGCACAAGAGGTTCTGGTACCAGCAAGATGCATAAGGACAGTCGTAGACAACATCGTTCCCTGTGCATACTTTTTAATAAGGCAATCAAAGATGTGGTCCGAATTAGCCATCAGTGAAGATTTATGCTGAAGTCCCATGGGAATTGAAGATTTTAATGAAGTCAGATACCTGCTTGAGTTCCCTTGATTTGGAATTGAGTTGTACACGTGAAAATGCCTTTGCCTAAGACGTCCGTCATCAACAAGGAAAACAACATGAGAGAGATCTTAAGAAAGGTGTGAAGCATTTTGCTTGTAGTACGAGAGGAAGAAGAATTGCAATTGCAGCTCGTGTTAGTCAAAAACGAAAACAATGCGGATGGGGAACAATCATGGGCATGAAGCAAGCCGAGAAGAGCCCAGTTCTTATAGAAATTATATCTTACTCAAAGGAGAGGGAGTGCTTAATCGGAAGTCACCAGGGAAATCATCAGACACACAAGCCACAGGGCCAGGAAAGCTTCTGATTTCAGAGCCCTTGCCATTGGTGGCACTTGGTATGTATGAAAACAAAACAATGCCACCCCAACTGGGATAACACAAGTCTAGGCCTTCGCCCCGGCCCCGCAATTCCGGGGACTCCCCGGCTCCCGCCCCCGCGAGGTCGGGAGCCGGGATGAGTGTTGGGAAGAACCAAATGGCGGGGAGCTTGCGGGGGCGGGCTTCGGGGACGCTGGAGGGGCTAAAATGCGCTGAAAGTGAGGCCTGCATGGCTAAATCTGCACTGCGCCCCCAGGATTGCGGGGAATCCCCGACTCCCGCACTTGCGAGGTTGGGAGCCGGGACCAGTTTTCGCAAATGTTTTCCACGGGGGAATTTCGGGGGCGGGCTTCGGGAGAGCCGAGAAGGGCCGGGGCAAAGGCCTACACAAGTCACTTGCCCAAGCCAATTCACCAGAAAGGTCCAAGGCTTGAGGCTGTTGCAAGGGCTTTGTTGAGTTAGAATACCACCAGTAGCCCAATCCCGTTAGTCTTGGTTGATGACCTAAAGCGACACCCACTATGGTTGCGGTAACGAGGTGATTTATTGTAGCTTTACAGCTAAGTCACACACAGGTCCACTATGGGCCTGTTTTACACTTGCGTTCCCTACGACTGCGTCAAATTTTGCGTCGCGCTTGTTCAAATCTACGAAAGCTTAAACCCTGATTTACAGCTGTTCTGCAAATTTGTGTCATACCCGAAATTTTTCAAAAAATAAAAATCGACGCCACCAGCTAAATACAGCCTATACAGGGCTGTACTGCACATGTGCACTGCCTAGGTGGAGCGTAGGTCTTAACTGTTTGGTACCTAGGTCAGAAGTATTGGATCGTGTCAGCCCTGGATACATATACATGTACCCAAAACTAACTTATAATATTAGACTTTTACTTATACACCTAATTACATGTACATACAGCTTATAAAACACATGTAGCATATAATAAAACATATACAAACATCAATTACATATGTATATACATTTAAAAACATATGTAACATGTAATAAAATACCAAGTACACCTCATAACTCAGTGTCAAGAGTTAAAATGCTTATACTACATAAATTACATAACACATATATGTAATTATGTAATATTAATAATAATGATAATTAATAGTAATCATTAAACCCTAAACCACAGTGATGATACAATCAAATATCACTACAATTAGGTTTGGAGAGGAGGATATATAAACCCCTCCTCTCTCAGCCTTCAAGGACTTTCCCTCAAGCAATTTTTATTACACACCTCTTTTAAAGAGCCCTTTAAAGACTCTTTTGAAGTACATAATCAAAAGTCTTATAAATATAAGACTAGTGATTCACTTCATATCTTTAAAGTAGCTTCCTGACTAAAAGATAAAGTAATCTTATTCTTCATCCTCTGGATCCCTACTTCCCCTAAGTAGAACCCCCTTATCAGGTTAGTGACCTTCCAATAAAAATCAGGTTAGTTACCTCCAGAACAACTACAGGTTAGTGACCTATATCAACTCACAGGTTAGTGTACCTTCTGAACAACTGCAGGTTAGTGACCTATATCAACTCAAGGTTGGTGTACCTTTTGAATAACCATAAGTTGGTGACTTTATAACAACCAGACTAGTGATTCTACACATCACTCTTCAATCAGTCACTTTGAAGATTGAAGGAAAGCCTTGGATCCAGCTTTCACTAATTATATTATATTATAATTAACCCCTGAACCTCCTTTTAAGGAGTCATTTAACTGTAGTATGTCTGGATTTATCCAAACAGACCAGTTCCCCTCTTCCTTCTCTCTTTCTTATCTTTATAATTTTATTGTAATACATTATATTTGAAATATAACTTAATTATCAAAAATTACCAACCCACCTTGCCAATTTTAGTGAGCCCTGAGTATTCTTTTGAATACCCAACCCTCACAGATTGGAAGGGTTTGCTGTTGTTTGGCAGGACCCACCAGCACACCCCAATCAATTCATGACAAACAAACCACAACCCACCCTCGACTCCACCTCAGGCCTGCTTCACCGGTTGGCCTTCCTGTTATTTAGTCCATTGTTCATTCACCCACTGAATCCGACCTACCAAGACGAGCCATCCATCTATAGCATTGAATCACCCACTGAATCTGACCTACCAAGACCAGCCATCCAGCCATGGGGTTTGTGGATCTCGTCATCCTCAAGTCCACGCATTTCAACCCAGGGATCCTTTATGACAACCACAACTTGATCGATGTCTCCTGCCACTACAAAAGGTGTCCGTCACGGCAAATCGAAAGACTTCACAATCACGAACCGCACAATTTTTTTTTTGATAATCAAAAAGTTCAGCATGGCCTACCCAAGATCTTTCCACCACTTAGCTTTGTTAGCGTCTCTTTCCCCTCATCGCTTTCCCTCAGTTTTCATTTCACTCACTGTCGTGTTTCTAAACGTTTTAATCTTTTTGTTGTCTGGATGGTCGCAGGCCTGCCAATGCCCGAATCAATCGATTGAGATCACCACCCATGAGGACCCGTTATCAGGCGCTCATTTCTCAAGCGCAAGGTAGAAATTTGAGCAATGTGCCACTCGCCAGACCCGGAGTTATGTGAGTGTTTCCTTCGGTCAAATGCCTTGAATATCATTGTTGACCTGTCGTTATCTAGGCCTGGAGATGCCCAAAGCATGCAGTCGAATCTAGCCTCACCCGCCGGTTACAAAGTGTCCTGCTTGGTTGATCCGTTGATCAACCACGGCGCAGCATGTGGTCCTAATGAACTGGCTCCAGCGCCGTTGTCCCAAGGATCTTCGGCTTCCTCGATTAACCCTCACATTAACCCATCCATCTTTTCGGCACCGTTGTCATCACAAGGTACACCACCGTCTACCTCCCACCCCACCTTGCCTTCCGGTTTGCACATCACTTCCAGTTCCCCTCTCAAGAGACCTTTACGCGAAATTTCATCTTCTGACGACAAACTCGAGTTTGGTGAGCATGATCTTTGCGTGATCTTGGTTACTCTGACAGACTGACTGACGTTTTTGGCCTTGTCAGTTGATGACGATGACTTTCTTGACAAACCAAATGGTTCAACCGGCCCACCTTCATTGTCAGCGAACTCCACCGCCACGCTCTTTCCCAATCCCGAATCACGTATGTTCACTGTAGCTTTCAACATCTGGCAAATGGTTGTACCCGAAATCGAAGACCCCGCCCCAAAATCTCGCAAGCAAACCTCCGGCGGATCCCGGAGAGCACCAGCCAAAATTCCCAAACCAAAGTATTCCAACTACAATCCTAAAACGTTGACAAAGCTTAGTATACCTGAGAAACTCCCCCCCTTTGTGGTGTTCAAACGGAATCTTTTCCTGGCCTGCGAGAAGATTCTCCCCCATGTAGCTGAAGCACTCCAGCTAGCCTGGATAGCTGGCAAGCTCTCGATCCAGGGTTGGATCACCAAGTCTAAGCAGCTCAAAGGTGACGACAAAGTGTCCATCACTGACACCTCATCATGGCAAGCTTTCATGACTTCGGCCTGGTCGGTACCCAACACAACTAACAAGGGCTTCAAGATTATTCACGAAAACCCGGTCAAGACGCAAAACGCTGTCCGAGCCCTCGAGTCTGCCTTCAAAAAACCTGCACCACCTTCTGACAAATCCAAAGGCAAAGTATCTGTGGTCTCTCGCGGCGTAAGTGAATATTTTGGTTGATCTCTATGCTTTAAGGTTCACAATGCTAACATATTCCTGACTTGTCAGTTGGGAATCCTCAGCGCTGGCGAACAAAATCTGCGCACATTGTTGACACGTTTCAAAAAAGATTTCAAACGCGGCGAAAACGTCACCTGTTATCCCAATCCAGTCGCTCCCTCCCAGGTTGTGCTTCTGAACACCTCGCGCATTCGCACATGGGCAAATGACTGGGTGAGCCCTTGTTCCTTTTTTTTTTATTTTGGGTCACTTTGCCCGTTCTTGACGTGCTTTACGCTTACTGACCACACATCCAAATTGTTGTTCTCAGGCCGATGGGGTCCTTGGAGTGGACGAAGTCAATCCTCCGATGAAACGACCCGGTTTTACCTGGATCAACGTTTGCGACTATGAGCGCAAGAAGAATGCACTCCTCGGTCTGACCCCCGCGCCTACTGGCACCTCAGCCCTAGGTCACTCTACCCCAGCCGCGACTACCGTTGTACACAACAACTACTATGGACATCCGTTCCCACCTCACGGGAGTTCTCAGGGGTTCCCCATGGGGAATGATCCTGTACCTGGTTTGACCACTCAACTTGATCTCTCTGCTTGCTTATCACCTCCGCCTGGCAAAAACCCGTACTTTGAGGACTTCCTGGTTTTTGCCGGTATTTGGCCTGATATGAAGAAAACACGTGATGTGTTATCTAATGAAGGTATCTCTGATTTCAATCGTCTGTTGGACCGTGCGGCTTACACCATCCCAACCTTTCATCATATGGGTGTCCCTTTCGCTCACGCCGAGTACCTTGTCAAGGCTGTTCCTAAATTCATTGAACACCTGAAATCAAAGTCAACTTAGTTTATTACGGCTGTTACTTATGTGTTACTGTTGCGTATTAAATCCCCGTTCTTAGTTCTTAGTTCTTACTGTTGCGTATTAAATCCCTGTTCTTAGTCTGTTAGTGTGCGTGATTTCTTTGTAGACAACTCATCTGAGCTGTCACATTTGTTTCCCGGCTCTCTCTTATGTCATCTATTTACGTAATAAATCCCCGCTCTTAGTCTGATAGTGTCTGTTACTTCATTGTAAACATTGAAATAAGAGCTGTCTGGTGCAAGTGAAGCAATCCAAACAAGAGAATACCTTTCTTGTTTCCTATTCCGAGTAAGGTGCAGGGGATTTTGACTCTGAGCAACCCAAAAAAACCAAGTCAGTCTTGATATCGCACGATATCAAGGCAGACTGACTTGAAATTTTTTCCACAGAGTCTCCTGGTTTTTTTCCAGATCAGTCTGATTCCCGGGACTCTGTCTGATCTCGCACAAAATGAAGACAGACTTTGAGTTTGAAACCAGCGAGTTTTTTGGCCCAAGGTTCTCGGGGCAAACTCATTCTGGTTTCGAAGGAGTGACCAATGAGGTCCTTTTTTTGATAGGGAACAAACACGCCTTGCTGGGCTGCTCTTAATTGCATAGCTTCATCTGAACACAAGGTGAGCACAGGGCCAATCAAACGTGTGATACAAACACAATAGACATTCAATAACATTGAAGTAGTTAAAAGCAAACACCGGATCTCGTGTGGCCCAAAGAGATACCTTTCCACCTCACATCCAGTAGCCACATACAGCATATAATCGATGCATCTGGGCGCCCGTAAAGATTTCCCAAGTCTTATCCATTATCAAGTCGATTTTACCTGCGGCAGGGGTTTGCTGAAGACTCTGAGTTCTTTGGAAGTGAGACTTGAGGACCGAGAAAGCCTTCTCAATTGGATTGAAGTCGGGTGAATACGGTGGGAGATATATAATGCGGATACCCCTTTCCTCAGCTAACTCAGCAACTCGGCGACCATGATGGATCCAACAGTTGTCCATCACCAAAACCGAATTCGCTTCGGGGTACGGATTCATGACCGGAAGCTGTGGCAACAACGAAGTCAACTAAAGAAGAAATAACGGCACATTGAAGGGGAGCTACGCACCAGTCAATGTTTCAGAAATGCCTCAAAATCTAGGCAATTGTAGCTCCCTTCCTGGCAGTCAACTGCCAGGAGGCCTCCCCTGAAAATCGCCGGTAGGAGTGAAAAACGTTTGCCACTTCGCGTCCAAGGCACTCGCTGGGTACAATGTCTGCGTATCGCCCTGCCTTTATCACGTTTGAGGAACTGCTCTTGGATTGCACATTCGTCTAGATGCAGAGGAATGCGACTGGTCAGCTTATTGATCTGCCAAAACTTGTCACTCGGGCTCACCTAGAAAAACAAGAATATTGGGGCTCAGGCCCCCAACCGCATGCAGATATTTCGCTCGCTTTGAGGGGCTCTGACTCGGATGAACGGTTCGAGCCTTCTTGAGAGTCAAGTTGAGCCTGTCTTTGAGGTCTTTTGCTATGGTGGCGAGACAGAGCCAAGTTCCGGTGCGACGATAAACAGCTTGTCGGTATTTGTCCAAGTACAGACCGGGGTTGCCATCTAGTAGCTCAAGAACAAAATCACGATCCTCGTCCGTGAGCGCGGTGTTCCTCCCTAGGGTAGCATAGTCTTCAGGGTTCCGAACGACCGAGTATGTTGCTCGGTATAAAGCGTGCCATTGGGCAATCGTGCGAGTGCTGACTGACGACTTCAATAGACGTTGGACGTGGGGTATGGTTTTACCAGCACGCAGGTATTGAACCGCCAGCACTTTGATGCCAGCGTCGTATTTGCCGGGTCGAAGCTTGGGTCTTACACGCATGTCTGCTTCATCACGATTCAGAGTCAGGCCCTATATATGAGAGGGAGGATGAAAAACACTTACTGTAGACAAAGACGTAATTGAGGGACGTACAGTGACGAGTTGTCGAAAACGGGATGTGGTTGTGGTGCTGTTTGCGAGGCCGATGATGGACTGGGAACGGTTGGACTGTGGTTTGGCTTGGGAGTGTCCGTATGTTACATGCTACTGCTCTACACACACTGGACATAAGTACAGCCCTGTATAGGCTGTATTTAGCTGGTGGCGTCGATTTTTATTTTTTGAAAATTTTTGGGTATGACACAAATTTGCAGAACAGCTGTATGGTAGGAACCAGGTAAAGCAGACAGTAAATCATCCAATAGTGGATTTCATGCGGTTACCGTCTTTGGTAAAACACGCATGATCAAATTTCGCACTCGGGAACACAAAATTTACAATAGATCACCCTCATGATAGTGGGTGCTCTTAGGACCCTTAAATGCTCCAGCTGGGATATCATCGGTGTGGATGCCCTCAAGACGGGAATGAATCAAACTTACATGTCAAATTCCCTCGTTTTTCAACCTATACCGGCGGGAATGAATTGGAATATCAACGGCTTCCCCAAACTGAGCATGCCGAGTCCTGATCTGCACAGTCACTCATGACCAAAAGTGAGTCTTGATTTTGACCATATCAAGTACTAAGAAAAATCTCAGAAAAAAACAAGTAGGCTCACCTTCTTGAACTCCTCACGGCTCTCTATACCAAAAGATGATGATTAATCTTAAGCCAATAAGCATCTCGCAAGTTCCTTGAGTTCATTAAAAAAATGCCATTAAATAAAAAGATATAATTAGCCGTGTTCAAACCAAACCCGGTTGACTCAAAAACCCAGTACACCCAGTTGCGTTTTTGGTGGTAACTTTGTGTATCTAGTGACAGCTCTTGACAGCTTCCAGCCAAAAAGTCAACCGGGTGTACCGGGTTTTTGTGCAACCGGGTTTGGTTTGAACACGGCTATTGAATAAAAGTTGGGAAAAAAATGTTAAAGGAATAAGTGTGATTTTCAAAAAACCATACTTGTTATGAATGAGACCTAGAGAAGATAGTAGATCTGTATGTACTGAATTATCTTATGATGATGATGATGATTTCCAAAGATAAATTTGATCAGAAAGAATCAGCTAAAAGTCCTAAAAAAAGGAGTTAAAATTATAATGATAGATTTCATCAAGAAAAACATCATTTAAAGTTTGCAAAGAAAAAAAGATTGTTTGAAAAAAAATGATTTATGAAGATGATTAGATGATGTTAAGATTTTACAAATTGAATCTATTCATACATTCTATACAAAGTATATTTAGAAATTATCCTCATCATGATTCGATTTACAAATATTCTTACTAATGAACCCAAACTTTCCACAAATTTAAATAAATATATTTATGTACAATCTATTTCTAACAAACAAACACAAAGCAAACCAAAAAATTCAAAACCTTTTCTAAACATACCAAGTCAAAGCAAAAAAAACCTCTTCATGAAAAACCAAATTAATCACAACAATGAAAAGAAATCAAGATGATTTAAAGTTTAAATAAATTATAAAGAGAATGATGGATTGATTTAAAATTTACATCCTACGCTGACGACCAGATTGATTGGAAACTTGTTTTAATCTAAACTGACGTCTATTAGCTGTTAAATCGATTCCTCCCACTTTACCCCATCCAGCAAATGGAACAATAATAGCTGTCATATTATCACGACTATAAAAAAGAAACCCAAAAAAGAGAAAAGAAAAAGAAAAAAAGGATGAGTTTCTATTTTTACAAACAAAAAAAGAAAGAAATCAAATAGGAGATTAAGAATTTACCCTCCAAGTTTTTCAGCAAAATCAATGATCGATTCAGCTGCTTTGGTCGGATTGGTTTCAGTACGACATAAATCAATGATTTCTTGATTTGACATCACTTCTGAAACACCATCTGATACGATGACCATAAATGACCATTGATCACCTTTATACATCACCCGAAAATTGAATCGATCAAATTTCGAAACAATAACAAAAAGAAAAAAAATATTGATCAGATTCAAGATTTTTTTAAAAGACCCATGAAAGATCAATTAAATTTTAAAAAAAGGGTGTTTTTTTTGGAAGGGGAAAGATTTCTTACCTTTTAATAATTTTTTAACAATATCAGGTTCACCCGTGACGCCTAATTTCTTAAATCTAGAATCACCTAACCCTCTAGTATTAGCCAAAGTGCCACCCCATCTAGATTCCCCAAAACTATCAGTAATCAAACCTGTTCCGATCCTTCTTAATCTTTCAGATTCCACTCTAGATTCAGGATGATGAGTTTCGGTAATCGGCACAACTTTTCCGGTGATCGATTCACAAAGTAAAGCTATTGTATCACCTACATGTGCAATTGTTAATAAGAGTAATGGTGATGAATAGAATGGATAGATTGGACTGGTTGGATTGGTTGGTAATGGGTTTAGTAAGACGATCGTTCCTACTGATCCTGATTTTGGGGTCGAGGTGATTAAGTGTTGATCTGCTTTTAAGAATGCTAGAGTTAATCTTTCACCTAATTCGATGTCGGGTGAATTGATTCTTAATGTTTTGGATTCGGTTTCGGTTTGGGTTTCTGATTTTGATTTTGATTTTGATGGAGTTTGGATTGAATACATCTTTTCACCTAATCCTTCTAAATAACCACCTCTAAACCTTTTAAAGTATCCTCCTAATGATCTATAGTTTCGTATGACATTTGGAATTTCAATCGGATCACAACTTTCGATGATCTGGTTTAAATTAGATTTCAAATATTCAGATGAATCTGATCCTCCATGTCCATCAAACAATCCAATACATAAAGTTTGTTCAATCGGTTTAAATTCTTCTACGGTACTTGGTTTTAATCTTTTCAAAAGCTCAGCTTCGGTTCCCAACGTTTTAATCGTTTGTTTGATTTCTTCTAGTTTGATTTTAATACTTGAAATTGAGATTCGATCTTCTTGATAAGGTCTTTCTCCACGTGATTGAGATGTTCCTATTAAGTTTGAAGATGTTAAGTTGATTTTGAGTTTTCCATTTTTTGGAATTTGATAGGTTTGTTGATGTTCTACTTGATGAATGTGATGATGATGAAATGGTTTGTGATGAGGTTTGAATGGTTGAATGGTTGAATGAGATGAGGAGAATCTGAGTGAATGCTGAAGAAATGACATCGATCAAAAGTAACAATCGAACTGAGTGGATCGAAGTGACTAATCTCACAGTCTGTGTACAGTCATCTCTGAGATAACCCATACCTTTTCAGAGCATCCGCACTCGTGCGGCAAATCGAGTGCGGTAAGTGTAAATTTACTGCAACCGCGGGGCTTATTCCACACCGGGAGCAAAGTAGACCCGCGGTACATAATTTTAAGGTTGATTTGAAGTAAGACAGAAGTAAATATAATCATAGCCTACCTCGTACTTTATCTCAAGTAACTACTCGGGTCCGGTAGCTTTCCGACTCGAATCAACTTCCATCTCACTCAACAATATTCATACACACCACAATCTGACCGATGGAACCCAAAGAATCAAAATCTCGCAAGCCACGCGCTCCGAACTGGACACCAAAAGAAGAGCAGCAATTGGCCATGTCTTGGATACATGTCTCTTCCGAACCGGAGATAGGAACTAATCGATCCTCTGAGATGTTCTTCAAGAAGGTTGCGAATCACTTCAACTCAAAGATTGACCTCCATCAACGTGATTGGGAGCAAGTCCAAACCTGGTGAGTTGAGTATGTTGTCTACTAAGTCGTATACAATGGCTCATTGTTGTTTCTTGAAGCTGGAACTCTCTCCGAACCTCCACACTTAAGTTTTCTAGTTGCTACGCTAAAATCGAACGAGCTCCCCGAAGCGGTAGTAATCTCCTTGATATCATGCGAGATGCGAAAGTGTTGTATACTTCGGAGGATAGCAAGAAACGCGAGTTCAAGAGCGAACTCGCGTGGGAAGTTTTACGATCGGAACCGAAGTGGATTGTACCAGAACCAGCTCCATTTCCTCCCTCCTCAGCGGTGGCTATCAGTAGTTCAGCACCACCAAACGATTCCGAACGCCCTTCTAGTCCGGTTCGACCTTTAGGAAAGAAAAAATCAAAACGAATGCGATTGAGTGAGGCTAAGCGTGAAGAGGCTATTGAGAAAGATACATTAGCCGAAATCAAAGCAGAAGAACGTGATATCAACTCAAGAAGAGTATCTGCTATGGAAGAAGCAAATCGACTTACCCAAGAAATGATGGGTCCTGAGATGATGGCAAAAGAGATTGAAATTCTAGAACGAGATGAAAGTACCATCAAAAGCGAGGTGGCTAGAAAAGCTTTGAGGAGGATGAAGGCTCAAATCCTTCTCAAATACGAGAAGATGGAAGCTGAAGGCTCTGATGCTTGATAGGTAAGCTGGCTCTTCTTTTTCTTAATTCTCTTCATGCGGGTTGATGAAGCTTTTTCTATTTCAAATTCTCAACAAATAGATATCTCACTTTTGAATTCCTTCACTAGATCTATCATCACAACTATGAATTCGCTTACAACATGTATTAAGACTTTCTCCTTTTTTTTCTTTACCGAATGATTTCAAGCCTAGTCTATTTGTTGCTTTGAAGGTTGTGTCAATGTGTGTGCAAACTGCCTTCCTGAATGCTTCGGACATTGAGATCAACACGACGCATAACTCAGAAGCTAGAGGCAAGGCAGTAATTGCATACATGTTAACACAATTGACAGAGTATCAAAGAGACTTGTGAGACTTGTGAAAATCATTTACCAATAGGTTTATGAATATGATTCATAACCCTCCTCTTTTCATCCATCCTGCTGTGATCAGATCGCGGGTCAATCTTAAGTGAATCTCGCTATCATGAAGTTCTTGAGATGCCTCGATGAAAGTTGTAAGTGATGGGGCGAGACGTGGATCTCGGACGTTGGGAACCACCTGTGAACTGCTGTCGTAGTCGAAAACAATAGGGTCTTTCTCGAGCCTTGCTTCAACCACCATGTTGTGTAGCACAATACAACAATACATAACTTTCCTGATATCACACATCTTCCATAGCCGACCAGGCTGTTTGATTATTTCCCACCGAGCTTGAAGAATACCAAATGTTCTTTCGATATCTTTCCTAGCAGATTCTTGTCTGAGGGCAAAGTAAGCAGTTGCATCATCGCCAGGATGTCGAATTGATTTGACAAGCACCGGCCATGAGGGGTAGATCCCATCTGCCAGGTAATATCCGCGCTTATATTCATTTCCATTCACAGTAAAATGAATATTGTCATCTGTACCTGTGTAATCATGAAAGGAATTGATGTCAATATCACTCTCACTTTATATTCAAGAACAGAGATATAAATACCAGCAAGAAATCTGTCAAATAAAGGACTTTGATTAAGTATATTAATATCATTCAAAGAGCCGGGTGCTCCAAAATAAGCATGCCAAATCCTGCAGCTTTCTGAAGCAACAGCTTCAAGTACTATACTCGGTGATTTTTCTTTTCCTTGATACCGTCCTGCCCATGCAGATGGACAGTTTTTCCAAGACCAATGCATCCCATCTATAGATCCTTTACAACCAGGGAAACCTCGTATCTCGTATTCCTTCGTGATGGTTTCCAACTCTTCCTTTGTTGGAGGTCTCAAAAATTCAGGGCCATAAATTTCAATTATTGCTGAGCAGAACTTTTTCAAAGCTTTGAGAGCTGTACTTTCACCCAACTTCAGATACTCGTCTGTAGCATCAGCAGGTATACCATAAGCAAGCTGGCGGAGAGCTGAAGTGACCTTCTGCTCTGTTGAAAGGCCTAATCGTCCCGTGCAATCCTAATCAAAAACTTGAATATTTAAACTTGAATATTGGAAAGATAAAAAAAATTGAAACCTCACACGTCTTTATTCCCAGTATCTATCATGCTGAACTAGCTTAGTGCAAATATCAACAAACATATCACGTGGCATTCGAAATCTTCGTTGAAAAGTCTCTTCGTCATATGCTGGGTTTGGGGAGAGGTAGTCGGCAAAAAGTTGGGCATCTGCTGCTTCTCTATCCCTATGTACCATTTTTTTCTTTGGTCGTTCATTTTCATTGTCTTGATCTGAATTATCATCTGAACTTGAATCTTGACTCCACTGTGTGAGCTCCTCCCTGAAAAATTCTCTTGTTCTTTTGAGGTGTCTTGAGAAAAATGTGCTTTCTGGCATTCTGAATCGCAAAATTTACTAGTCTTACTTCTGTGTTTACAAATTTACAAACTTTTCACCACTGTGGGTTTTGTACAGTATATGTGAAGTAACTAATGATACATGGCAGATACTGGACACGAGTGTGATAATTGTACATAATTAGTAAATTTTGACTTACCGTACAGGTCGGTACCACAAAAGTTACCGAAACGTACCACAAACGAGTGCGGGTGCTCTCATGGACCCCAAAAGGTATGGGTTTTTATAGAGTATGGGCTAGCAAGATTCTCTGCAATAACCCATACAAGCAAATTCATGGGTTATTGCAGAGAATTGTTTCAGAAAGTTGAGGTGAGATTGCTGAGCGCTTTCATTGCATATGTATCCAAGAGGATTGAAAGAGGAAAGGCAAAATGGTAGGCTGTACCAGTGATTTGGAGTGTGCTGCACTAAAGGCCCACAGGGCTTGATTCAGAGCCCCCCCACAAGCTTTAGTTTTGCCAGAATCATTGTGTCTGAGGTAATCTGTGACAACTTCTGCAGATTTGAGTAAAGCAGAATACACTGGCTGAGCAGGCACCTCACTGCCAGCATAGATGCCTCGGGTTGAGAAATCCGAGGCATCATCGGAGGCAAATCCTCGGACAGACCTTGTCCGAGGTTTTCGCCCGAGGTATTTTTTTGCCCTGAGAATTACCTCGGATCAAAACCTCGGGAAGCTTCTGTCCGAGGTTTTGCATCCGAGGATACCTCGGATTTTGTAATCCGAGGTAAATATGTTGGTGGTGCCTCAACTTCAGAGTGCTCTGGAGCCGGAATATCTGTGACGTGGTTGCATTGTTCAATAGCTTCAAAAATCTCCTCCGGAGTCTAGGTCTCAAGGCCACTCACATGCTCATTGGTAGGATTTAAGAGTTCGGACAAAGACATCATGTTCTTTTTATGAACAATATTCAATTTCTGATTTATTCTCAGTTTACAATCTGGCATATCCTTCTTCAATGTTTGAGACATAAAAAGTTGATAGGTCATTAGGAAGCATGTTTTTGGGTAGAATAGTTGAATCTGTGATGAATTGTGTTGAGCTTTGATGATTTGTGTGGAATGGATGGAGTCAAATGGCTATGAAAAGCTTTGAAGGTGTGTCTCAGGAGTCTCCTGTGCAGTATTAATTTTTTTTTCTTGGGGTGAAGTATGGGTTTTTTGTCTCTGGTTCTCAAAAAAAAGTATGGGTTAAGGGAAATAGTAGAGTCATGGGTTTTTGATCTCGCCGATAAAAAATATGGACCCGAAAACCCATGGGTTAAGCTAGAGCATGGGTTATTGGGTTTATGAGTTATTTCAGAGGCAACTGTAACTCAACCTTCTCAACTTTCATAAAGAACCATTTCTCATTTCTCGTTTCTCAAGTTTTTATTTATTTTATTTTATTTATTTCAACTTGAACCACTCCAAACAACAACAAAAAATACATTCAAACACTTTAAGAAACTATTAAAAGTTCTCTTTACCTATCGTATTCACATCATCAATTTGGTACAAATGTATCAGAATTCAAAATCAGTTTGAGTCTTGCAATAACTCAAAGAAACCACTTGACTCACCCCAAAAGAATCGAGTATCACCATCTTCACCTCCAGTCCATTTATTACATTGAAGATGTAATTGATGTCCCAATGAAGGTGGTCCACAAAAGAAGACACCTACATCTGTAGCTGGATGACGTTCTCGAACAGAATTAAACACTCCTAAACCATCATCATCATCATCATTCAAATCATAAAGAAATCAGTCTAAAGAATTCTTTTATCATATCAAGAAAGAAAGATCAGAAAACGCTAACGATCCCAATTCGGACGACCATAATGAGTAGGAGATTTGAGTTGAGTGATCACATCACGACTTCTATCGACCCCAGACATAATGATATGATTCACATCATCAGGTTTTAATTTTTGAGTAATATAAGTATGAAGTTCGACTCTTCCTTCCAAGTCTTGTTCTTCAATAGCTTCAAGTAAAGATCCAAACCATTCACATGATTCGAAATCTCTACAAACCCAAAAAAAATAAACTTTTTGTAATCGTGTTTGTTTTTCTCTTTCGAATTGAGTCAAGTTTAATTTATACCAAATCGATTTTAAAACTGATGCAAATGGTGTTACACCAATTCCTCCACCACATAAGATTACAGCTTCGAACTTGAATACATCTTCTGATGCTGATCCAAATGGTCCATCTATCATCACTCTAGGTAAGATTCGATGAGGATTATTATTAGTAGTAGGTTTGATTTGATGATGATGACTAGCTTCATCTTTGGACGATTCATTAAGATTGGGAAACCGACAACCAAGTGCAAAAGCAAACTGGTTAGTAAAATCACCTACACAGCGTATATGAACTGAAATATAATCTTCTTCAGGTGCAGAAGTTAAGGTGAATGGATGCCATTGCCAAAAAGAAACTTCAGGACATTTTAAATAAATGTATTGACCGGGCCTGGTGATAGTTTTTTCTTTTTTGATTTGAACTTCACATACTCTAGATGGATGTTGAATGACTTTTGAAATATATGTTTTATGATTCGATCTGATTTCTCGTAAGGTTCTTTCTAATATAAATGCAAACCCTCCTGCTAACCAATACCTTTTCAAATAAAAAAACAATGAGAATTTTTCTTTTTAGGATTATTTTTGGTTTGATGAGATGAAGATATTTTTGGGATTCACTTACTTCCAAAATACACCGATTTGACCATATGAACAATAAGGAGGTCTATCAGGTTGAATCATACAAAACATCCTACGTATCAAAGCCAAAAAAAAAATCAAAATTTAAACCTTTTCAACCAAGAGAATTTAAAGAAAAGAAAGAAAATCCAAAGATTACCCATGTAATTGCCAAGCCATAAAGAATACAATAAAAAGATGATGAGAATACCAAAACCTTTCAAAGTTTAATCTTCTAACACTTTCTCTAGAAAACAAAGTAATTAAACCTAAAGCCAAAGACATAATCCAACCAGTAGCACCAGGTCCGGTTAAGAAATTAACCGCAAAGAAACCAATGATACCAGTTTGAGTAGATTTAGCTAAAAATCCAAAGTTAATTAAATGTGAAATAATGTGAATCAAACTAAAGATTGATAAAGAGATTCCAGTGAATTTATGAAAGGTAATGTTATTTTCAAATGGGATCACTGAGTTTAAGATCGAACGTCTTAAGAATGTGATGAAGTTTCGACAGATTGGTAGTAAGATGAAAGCTACGTCTAAGTGTAGGATTAAAGCTGATGATCTTGCGATGGGATAAGTTATATGAAAAGTTGAACGAGCGTTTGTAAGATTATCTTTGAGTTGAAAATTTAAAACTTATCAAATCAAATCGATTAGAATCACATCAGAGGATATTTTTTAGTCAAGATACTTTTTTTGGGGGGAAACGTGTTGGAAGGGATTAAGGAAACCAAATCACGACTTACAAGCAAGTGTGAATGCAAAAAGATGAACGAAAATCCAAGTCCAAGTAAAGATCTTCCTACCACCTTCATTAACCATCCAAGACTTTAACCTAGTAAACCTAGAATCCACAATGATCCCTCTTTTCAAATCAGCCTTGGATTTATTAGTCTTGAATCCATTTTGATTATATGATGCAACACTCAAAACACTTTGGGGACGTAAACTTGATGACAGTTTAGGGTTAGGTGATCCGTTCGTGTGATGGTTAAGTCGAGTTGGACTACTATTATTACTATTATTACCATTTTTGTGCTTCTCGGTTCTTGGAATGTTTTGGGTGGGTGTTGTGATGAATTGTGATGAGTTTGGGGTCAGGGGTGTTAAGTCTTCGAGGTCTAGATCAGGATTCTTGACATGATGTTTGTAAGACATAGTAAGATCTCACTTCGATCTAAATGATTCAAATAACGATAATGAAAAAGATGTGATAAGAAATTCTCAATCAGAAAAAGTCGAGATATTGAATTAAAGTGAATTTAAAAAGATAGGTAAAGAAATTTTATCCTAAGATTTGTTTATATAGAGATCATGAACCTCCAAGAATGGTACTACATATATGATGATTAAACGTTTACTAATCTGTTCAGGAAAAGAAACTTATGAGGTATTTAATTTAGATGAATCTTTTTTGGATTGATTCGAGAGAATTAATTGATGCTTTCTTTGACTGTTTTCTCGTCTTTCCGAGTCAAAACTTAAACTTGATGAAAGTTTTAACCCATTGACAATTTATTTCAATCGGTTAATGAATTTTTTAAACACATTATCTTTTTGCATAGATTCAAACTTTCTGTAAGATTTCTTCTCTATTTATTTTCTTTATAGACCGAAAAAGTAAGGTTTAATTTTGTTTTTGGAAGAGGGGGAAGGGGGCCTGAAATCAAAGACGGAAAGATTTGTGCATGTTGTATAATCTTGATCTTTTGAAGTTTATAACTACAATTCCGATTCAAGTTAATCTTTTGTCCTTTGAACTTTTTACCATTTCTGAGAGACATAGACCAATTCTAAATCCTTTATAAGTCACAGTTGGAAGTTTCTTAAATTGGAATATGTAATCTACCTAATTAGCCAGACTAGGCCAGACTCCGATCAAGGAAACTGGTGAGTGGACGAACGATAATATCTATGGGTTTGAGTCTTGGCTTAGATATGGCTTAATACAAGTCTAGGCAGCAGGCAGTTTGAAGCTTTTCGGTTTCGAGCATCAAGATACAACATATCATATCTGACACATCGGATGACGAATGTCGAATGAAGTTAAGAGATCTCACAATCGAAATAAACCCGTATTCATCCTCCTGGTTCAAACTTTTCATCGATTCCCAACTTGTACCCAATGCATAGAGATCTAGAAACGATAGATACTCTTTCAGGATCACACGCGTATAGAGCCAGGGCTTTTCAGAAAAACCTGTTACGCATATTGTCAGGTTGGTGATATGGAATGAGATGAAGTCAGGGTCTGGATGAATGGCATTTCATGATGATAATCAGAATGGTTATTGGTCTCTTGCCTTGTATTACTAGGGTGAGCAGGGTATATCATAGCAAAGCATACGTTTGAAAACATGACAGGTGGGCAATGATGATCAGCCACTCATATCACCTTACTTTGTGAATGTCATGATGTTTGATTGACTACCATGAAACAAATTAACATGATATCAGATATCCCAAGAGACTTAAATCCATCTCAACGGGACTTGCAATTTTCAACTTTTCAAATACCAGGAAAGGAATCAGACCTTAACAGATTCCTTGATACATGACTTCAACAAGTTCTATCCATAACAAGCCAAGGAAAGATTTTGATACAAGCGGCTTTGTGAACAGATAAAGCAATGTCAGCCAGATACATGGAAAAGCAGATTGATGAAATTAAGACAGATGATAATGAAGTTGATGATCAGTGAGAAAATAATCCAAACAAGGCAACAGAAAAGACCTAAAGTAGTACACCAAACCTTTATCCCCAAAATTCATCATTACAATTGAGTCAGGCATATTGAACAAAGGCATCTAGAGGGATCACCTAAAAATGCCATCCTTTCATCATTTCATCAAGTATATGCTCCTCCTACTGAGATGCAACTTCTTTTGGACAGTTGTAGTTGTGTGGTCTCACTTTACAGTATTATGTAACACTTGTTGAAATTTCCAATTGCATCCGGATTGTGGACACAGCCCTTGTGTGCTGATTCTTGACTGAAACTATCTGCACCTGGTGGTGCAAAACAGATTGGATTGGTATGACTTGAAATTGAATTTTGACAAAAAATATGACTGTATTGTGCAATTAATGTGAGTAAGTTGACAATGAACAATTGGTAGCTCTACACCAAAGCCCCAACATGTCGAGCAGTTTCCATTGGAAGAATGGCACATGAAATGAGCTGAGAACTGTCAAGAGAATTGGCTGTGACATAGAAAGATTGTATGGCACATAGAATACAGGAAAGAAGTCAGAGATTTCCACTCTGACTACCACTCTATTCTACTACCATTGTCTCTCTCAGGCTCAGAAGATCCCACATTAAGTATGTGATGTGGGGAATATTTTGTTTTGGCCCACCCACCATTAGGCTAGGCTCTCTCAAGAGTCAAGATTCAGGTTGTGGGCGCACTAATAATTTTGGAGGCACACTGAGGCATGTTTTTTTTTGTTTTTTCTCATGCCAAGGTGTCACCTGGCGCACTGGGCGTGTTTTTTTTCAAAAAAAAATGTTGAGGTCCAAGATGTTGATTTTTGTTGACATTTTTTCAAGTTTTCAAGTTGCTGGAGCCATCTACCAAATCACTTTTGCCATTTAAAGGTGAGCAAGAGATGACTTTGGAGTTCCCAGTTAGTATACAAGTCCTACTACTGATGTCAATAACTCTGATGTTGGTGATTTGGTGCAATTTTTGCCAAGGTGCACCAACCCCCAATCCCTGAATTCTCTGACGCCTAGGCGCGCCCACTCACAACCTGAGTTAAGAGTCTTCTACTCAACCCTAAGACCAGGCCAACTTTGGCATCAAACTAGCAAAGGTAAAAAGGTCCCCAGAAATGCCCCGGTAGTGGACCTGACCTTGGCCGCCCCCCACCTTATCCATAGCTCTAGGGACCTAGACAAGTAGACTATTTTAGAGATTTTAGGAACTAGATATTAGAGTTGGAAATAATATAACCCCCTTTGTAGTTAGAGCGCTCCAGTGTAATGATAAAGATGAACAACATAGCACACCAACAATGATCAAGACCTACACCAAACTTTGACAAGGAAGAATGGGAGGTGCCTGACATATTAGATGCCTGATTGAGATATAGGAAATTTGAGTACCCTTGAGTACCTCATCAGTTGCATGGATTTGGACCCAAATACAACACGTGGGAACCGGAGGCCAATTTAGCAATAGTCAAGATTTATTGAGAAATTCAACAAAGATCACCCAGAGGCAGCAAAACAACATAGGATAAGGCAGAGAAAACTGTGAGAGGGCACACTTTTTTCCGCCGGGTCTTTAACTCAACACAGAGCATGCAAGAGCGATCTTGGGCATTTAAAGGGGGATGATGTTACAACTCATATCAATGTAACAGGACGTGACATACACTGAGACATGTCACACATTGGAAATTACTACCGTAGAACCCAGTTGTGCTTTCTATCCTTTTCCCTCATGCAACATCATAAAACCTGAGATACAATAAAAACCCATCTGAACCTTGCCATGAGACCAACCCCCAGTCATGGCCATAAAAGTATCTCTTACATTATGTTGCAGCCACAGCAACTATCATCATCATCATCATCACCCGGGCCTGAACAGCCCTCTTGATGTTGTCTGAAAGAGGAAGGCGCGTCTCGATTTCTGAAAGACTGTGTGTCCAAATCTTCAATTACTGGTTTACAAGACACAAATTCATCACGATTTCCAATGAACATGGCTTGAACAATTGCTGAGGAGGTGCAGATAAGCACAATAACTCCAATGAGGCGGATGGCATTCATGGTGTTTGACCTGGATTTGACATTCAGGTTAGTCAAGATATATGAATGTGGAGGAAGATTTTCAAGGAGCCATAGAAGTGCTCCAAGGGAAAGTAACGTACCGCAAAGAAACTGTGTGTGTCTTAGGTATTTGGGTTGTGTTTGACAAAAGAGCAAGTTTGTCTGAATGATTCTAACAGCAGAAAAAGATGAGATATATATCCTAATCAGTCATTGAAATTATTCGAAATACTGAGGTAATAAGGAAATGGGCGAACCACTGATTGTCAGGATGCAGGAAGAAGCCAAAGAATGTGCGGATGAGGAGGAGATGTCATGTCAATCATTTGGCTTTTATATCCATCAGACACATCTAAACTTGGCAGAGCTGATCTTGCAAAAATGCCGGGGCCCTCTTGCATCCATCGCTATACATCATAAGTCTCTCCATGTTTAAACACGTATCACAACAGTCAAGGATAACATTATTTGCAGACGAGCACTGCCTTGTAGCGTTTCAAAACTTGTGCCTGGAACTAGATTCTGCAATGTTGAGGTCAAGTAAAGTTTTCCAATTATCAACTGATAGCGAACATTAGGGGTTAGGGGTCAACGCTTGGGTCTCCTACAGGGCCATTTGTACTCTGTAATGGTTAACATCGCCACCCTGGACGCATTGCAGCAACCAGATTCTTTCGCTGATACCTATCGAGCTTTACAGATAGACCATACCGGTTGGTCGTAACTGAGAAACGTGCTGGATTACTGGCGTCTTGTTGGTCGGATTTGTGGCTGTGTCGGCTGAATTAGAGTAGGCGGCAATTGGAAGGATTTTACAGAGATGCTGACATCCGAATGCCAGATGCGAAGTAAGGATATTCAGACAAAAATTGCCAAATCTTGTTCTGACCTACAAACTCTGGAGACGCAGCTTCACCAGAATTCCATCCACCCAAAAGATATGTGTAATTATGGGATACAAAGTTAAATCACTGGAGCAGTCAATCTGGTTTTAGATCGAACCTTCAACCCATCCAAACTTCTATGTAGTCCTTATCAACTATTACGCCGAGACTTGTGAGAAACATTTTTCACCCTTAAAACTTACAGCTATTGAGAAAATATTCATTCTCGTATCCAGCACAGTAGAAGATCTTGATTGGCTTCATCCAGGTCCATTTTCATGACCTCATTTCCTGGGACCCCTAACCCCTAACCCTCAAAGGCTGTTGAGCAAACAGTATCTGCCGTGTCTATGACGCGGACGCGCAGGGAGGGCTATGTTATGGTAATCTTTGTGGTGACTGATCATGTCCATCACGAAGTCCGTCACATCTCATCAGCCTGGTGGGTTCCGATGCCTCTTGACCATTGAAAGTGTCATCGTTGTGGAGAATGATGTATATCAAGACTACCTTTTGTTCTCAGCAGCCTAGTGGACATCACACCCCTCTTGTCCACTAAAAACATCATATGTGTGGAGGATGACGTTCATCACAATCTCTGCCCCGTCTCATCAGCCTACGTGATGGGATTTTCCATTCCTCGCCATCATTAATGTAAAAAAACATTGTGTGATACGGAGGAGCCCTGCTGACAGTCCTACTGCGAAGGTTTTGGGGGATTATTGCTACGATAAGGCCAGACCTCAAGGTGCGTGATAGCCTTGTGGCAATCTTTCTGGGGTTCTCGGAGCTCTGCATGTGGCGAGTTGAGGCGTATATCGGAGATCTGCATAAGGTGTATATTTCTTCGGATGTAATCTTGATAAACCTAATAATTATAAACTTGAAATCATTTCTGGGAAAAATTTCAAGACTCGTTGAACTTGTATATCAACTTCTATCTATCCCTTCATATATTTAAGCCATAGTAGGATATTGATTGAATTTAATTGATGGTGATGATGATGCGATGATGAGCTACTTCAGGGAAGCTCAATTTGTACATAAGTGTTTCACAGAGCTGAGGAATAGGTAAAGGAAGAGGTTAAGGTTTGTTAGGGTGATCTTACATCCATGATACTTCTTTACTAAGCTAACAAAAGAGACACACAAGGAACCAATTTTATTGATTCCTTGAGATGTCCATGATTTTTTTCAGCCTTTTTTCGTATTTGCCCGTCATAAGTATCTTTTAATTTATCACTTTTATCTTTTACCTTTTTTCAGATTCAATTACTTTCAATTTTTTCTTTTTTATTGGGCATCTGTTGTGATATTGGAAAAATAACTCTGTTTGCCATATCACAAATTCATTATGTATATATATCTTTGGGTACATCTCCTTCCATGCCTTTTCTCATCATTTTAGTAAATGATGTGCTAGTCCACAGTCTTGAGTACTTTTTTGGGTAAAAAAACAAAATGGAAGGGCTCACCCATGATGTTCCCAGATTGATTGAGTGGAGTTGAATTCATGTGTTGGTTAGAACTCCAACCAAATTTGATATTTCTTTGACAGAACAAGATCAAACTTGATGATAATTGTGTCAACAAGAATTCAATCCAATTTATCTTGCCTTTTAAAAAGTGTTGAAGACGAATGTTGGTAAGTATGGGTTTGAGTCATGGCTTAGTACAGGTATGGGATATCATCACGCAATCTCAAAAGTCGAATGGTTTCGATCAGTTGTGATTTGGCATCCATTGACGAATGACGAAGAACTGCTAAAAATGTCTCATCAAAAACGAAGACGAAGTCAATCTCCTAGTTCAACTTTTGCATCGCTTCCCAACTTTCACTCAAACGATAAAGATATATCAGAAACAACAGATACCCTCTCAGGATTACATATTGAAGCCTTCGAAGCCGAACTTTGTGATGATGAATGGCTTGGTCAACAAGCTGAGAGTAGATGTGATGAAATCGAAGGCGGTAGATTGATTCGATTAGGTGGAAATGTTCTTAATTCATCATCATCAGATCAAGGAGAAGGAGTTTGGGTCGATAGGTAAGGGAATTCAATTTATTCACCTCAGCACAGTATAGGTGTGCCATCAAGTTTTATTGCAAACAGAATGTCGCGACGCTCGACTATCGATCTCAAAACCTCTCCAACTCCAGATTTGAACGCCATTCTACTCGATAATCTACATGAATCTCATCAAAGAAGGGTTCCCGGCTTGAAGAACGCTTGAATGAAACCATCAAGGTCGAATGAAATTTCAAATCGGATCAGAAATCAATCAAAAACCACAACAAGATAGTCTCAACTATCTGCTGTCTCGTGAACTCGAATATTTGAATCTTTGATTCGAGGAATTAGCTCAAGAGTCATTGATGTCAATATAGTTTTCAAAATGACAAAATGATAATAATCCTCGAATCTTCAACTAGCTGACGTATGTGATACTCATGACTCTCATGTCTAGATATGACGCTCGACTACTGCTTCCTACAACGCCTCCTACTGGCTTTGAAGAACCCACTATCCTGACGCCACCACCTGTCAGTCCAACTGGGTACTCTGATCTACCTTCGGATCACGAAGAAATGTTCTATTTTGATGAATCAGAACGACAAGAAATAGCTCAAAGGTGACGAGCAATTCTAAGAACATTCATTTTCTTTGCTGCTTGGTGACGGCACTTATTCTTCCTGTTACATTTTTGCAGAAAACAAAGGAGAAAGAGAGATGAACAACAGCATAAGCGAATTAGATTAAGGGAAGAGGAAGAAAAACAACGTGAAGAGAATATTCGACTTTCAAAAGTAAAAAAACCCTAACATTCAATTTAAAATGCTTGGAATGATTCCCAGTGGCTAAAGGTTTTTTTCTAATGGATCAAACGCTGTTTTTTGATGTAGATTCCACCGCCTGATCAAATGTTATTAATGTCAAGAACTTTAGAAGCATTAAATTCATCACCTTCACCATCATTACTTGAAATCCGGATCTTAGCTAATCATTACCAAGATTCTCGATTTGCCTCTTTTTTAGGTAAAGATGGTAAATATAGATTGTATTGGGAAGAGATGAAATTAGGAAAACATTCTACGAAAAACTCAGCCGACGAACAACCTAAAGTTTCTCAAGTTGAGAATAATGGATTACAAGGTATTGCTGACTACGGTGAATCGAGTGATGAAGCCGAGGTCGGTGAGGATGACGAGGAGCAGGAAAATGTCCATGAATGTGAAGAACAAAATCAGACATATGAAAATGATAAGCTTGAAGGCAAAACCCGGTCCGCAATACCAGTGACATCTGATCCGCTTTCACCAACTCGCAATCCATCTTCTCCAGCAGGTGAACTTGTTGAACCGATAGATCCCTCAGATGAGGTTTTACCACCTGGATCACCGACCGATCTTGTACCGATCATCGATGATAGTCTTGCTCATAAACCTATTGACGAAGCTGAACGCTTACGTCGACAAGCAAGAGCCAAAGAATGGGCGGCGCAAAGGAAAAAACTTGGGTCCCCCGCAAAAGAAGATATTTCAACTCGACCTCCAGATTTGATAGAACAATGAACCGGATCATTACAGCATATTCAAACAATCCGATTGGATATTGTATCTTATTAGGTTGTTCGTAACGTCGGTGTGCTATGGATATCGTGATATCCACCTTTGTAGAAGTTTTCTAGACGTATTACATATTCTCTCCAATCTTCCTGAATCGGATATTTTGGGTATCGAGGATCCACCAGAAAATTTAGTTTGTACAGGGATTTGACTCGTTCCAGAGCCTTTGTGAAATACTTTGATCAAGTAGTCGACCGGTGCGAGGTGAAACGTTTTCTATAGACACCTTGTACAATAGCCGAAAATCCACATATTTCGAGAAGATCCCCTATATGTATGTATACATATCCAAGACTCCAGACCGTTGGTTGTGCCTCAGTATATTGTATTTCAGCCGAGATTCGCGTGTTAAGCTTATTCCACACGGCGCTCTCACGGTTGGCTGATATTTTTGTAGAGATATGGATCTATGAATCTCCCAACGTAAAGGCTCACTATCGTTTGAGACTCAGTTCAGTATCGAAGGGTATCTGTGATAGATGGCGCGTGGAAACAACTCTTGACAGCCAGCTATTTGCGTCAAGCCAATTATCGTCAATTCAACTGGGCGGATTTTGATATTCGATTTGAAGGTGGTGTATAACAAAGTTCATATCGCTTGCAAAGATTAGCTAATCCCGAGTAACGAGTTTGCTTTCCATCGAGCGAGAGTAATATTCGAATAATGCAAGCCCCGTATTTTAATAAGGACTGATGTTGAGAGTGAAAGATCACATTTACCAGGAAGATAGCCATCACACTTAATTTCTATGAAATCTTGATATTGACTAATCTATTTGGCTCAGCCTTGATCATCTTCAGCCTTCCTGAGATTTGGATGTGGTTCGTCAGCTTTCTTAAAGCCTATAAGGTAGGGAAGAGTAAATAATCTCGTAACTTTTCAATTCTTTCTTTATAGGCGTTCCCGAGACTTCGTATCGCCACATTTATTTTTCAAACCTTTATTCCTCATCTACAAGCTTACTAATCAACTTCAAGATACCACTTACCATCACGAACATCCAGATCCTCGTTGCGAGTTAGATCATTCTATTTTAATCAGATTCATTCACTTTGATCTTACCATCGTCAATCGAGATGAATAACACAATAAAAGAAAACCCAGGTTACAGTGAAGATATCACAGTTCTACCACCACCACCACCTACATCAAATCCAATTGAACTATCAAACTCAAATGAAAACCTATTAAAAGATGAAAACCAGAATAATTTGAATCAAAAAGATTCGCCAACTGAAGTTTATCAATTAAATCATCACGTTGAAATCATCGGAGAAATTATCATAAATAGATCAGAAAGCGCTAAAGTTTGGAAATATGCTAAATACTTTCCTGGCGGTTATAATCCTAAGAGACAATTACCTTTAAAAGGTAAAAGTTTAAATACTGCTATTAATCTTGTTGCTGGTTTAGCTATCATGTAAGTCGATTTTTTTGATGTACGAAAGTTGAAAGAGTTTGAAGACTGATTGATAATCTATACGATGTTCTTTTTGGTGTACAAAAATAGGTTTTATGGATTTGATCAGTGAGTCCTTCTTTGACCTATATAGTCCTTTAATTCTTTACAGTTACTCATTGATTTCTTAATATTTCAAAACGAAGGGGAGTGATGTCAGGTACGAATTAGATTTCTTTTATTCTCTCAAACGTTTTGAAATTAATAGTATTGCTTTAAATTCACAGGTGTTAACAATACAGGAGATTATCGTAGATTAATGGGAGTAGATAGTTCTCCACAAACTGCAAGAGATTCGGCAGCCATTGGAGGGTAAGTCTTTTATCACTCTATGAATCAATCCAGCCAACGCTCATCATTGGGATTTCTTTTACTTATCTCCGGATTTGTTTTTTTTCAAGGATTGTTGCTGTTTATTACATCGTTAGTCACTTTTTCCTTCGTCTATCTTGAACGTCCAACTAATTATCAATGATTAAATCATAGGGAACACTAGTAGGCGCCCTAGTAGCTGGGTCGCTAGGTGATCGAATCGGAAGGCTGAGAAGTAGAAATCCCGAACTCATATATCAATCTTTACGTTTTCTGATATATATTTTTTCGTCCAATAGCTATCGTGTTTGGTTGTTTGTTTGCCGCTGTTGGAGCTTCACTACAGGCATCTTCTCAAAGTGTACGTTATAAATTTTGACGAGTTTCATCGTTCTAGTCTTTTGAAATGTGTATGCCGCATGATCAACTTACTTTATGTAAAATTTTATTTATTTAGATCGTTTGGATGTGGTAAGCAAATGGAAAACTTTGTCATAGAATTCATGAAAATCGGATCTCTGATCATTTGTTTCCATTTTGTCTTCTTACAGTTTGGCACGAGTCATTACAGGGTATGTACTTGGAATATTTCTCTTGATTAACACTCTATCTATTAGCTGTCTTATTTCACTCACTCTTTCTGATTCGTTTCTTTTAGTTTTGGAACTGGTAATCTTAATGCTATCGTACCTGTTTGGACGTCAGAAATTTGTCATCATACGAATCGAGGAGCAGCTTTAGGTTTTGAATGTTAGATTTTTTTCATTTCTTCATTGAAATTCCCATTTCGAAATACTTACATTCTCCTTTTGCCTCAAACTTCATTTGTAGTCTTTTTGAATATTCTTGGATTGGTAATTGCCTATGTGAGTTTTTCTATATGTCTTTCTCTCTCGAAAAAGAATGGTAGGTACTTACTAAGTATGAAATATTCGAATTATTTAGTGGACTGAATTCGGTCTAAGAAATGGAAATCAAAGTTTCAGATGGAGGTTTCCACTCGCCTTGCAAGTAAGATATCCATCATCGCTTCATAAGAATACAAACTTTCAGCCGATTTCTGATATTCCAACGTTTTTTAGATTGTTTTCATCGTAGGTTTATTAATTTTGGTACCCCTTTTCCCAGAATCACCAAGATGGTAATAATTTTCTCTATGAATCTTATGTACTCTTTTAGTTTGTAATTGACCATTATCTCATTTAGGTTGGTTAAAGTAGGAGAAGTAGATAAAGCAAGACATATTTTAAACTTGACGCGCTCGAGTGGCACAGGGGATGTTGAAACCGAAATTGAACTAGAATTAGAAGGTATCATCGCCGTAGCAGCTAACGAACAACTCAATGTTTGTAAGTCATCATCCAGACACGAGACCCGCTGAAAAAAGGATTTAGGCTGACTCAAGGATTTCCTCCAGCCAAACCGACATATTGGAGTATGATTACGAAGCAAGATAGTCAACATCTTCGTCGTCGAACTTGGCTTGTCATTTGGCTCCAAATCTTACAAGAGTTGGTAGGAATCGGTGTAGTGACAGTTTACGCTCCTGATGTCTTTCAACTTGTAAGTTTTTTTCCATTCCATTACGGAAATTGATTATTATTAACATCAAAACTATTTTCTCAACAGGCTGGCTCTGAAGAACTTTTTGCCAACTTGTATGATCCTTTATCTGAACTCATTTCTTCTGATCTTACACAATCTAACTAGATTGACGTTCTTCCTTCTTTCCAAAAGACTCTCTGGAATCAATAACGTATCTTATAGTAAGTAATCCTGACCTCGTTTGACTTTCACCTTATTTTGAACTCTAAATGTAATTTCGACGGAAAATCTATCACAGTGTTCAGTGTTCTAGTAGCAGTCTTCACTTTGGATAGGATGGGAAGACGAGTCACATTATACTGGGGAGCTATCGTTATGGGCTTAGCTCTCTTCCTAGCTGGTATTTCAACTAGGTCAGTCAGATATGCGGATCGATAGAGCCATGTTGCGAGATGCAAATTTACTCACATTCTTGGTCCTCTTAGGTATGCAATTGATACAAACGTGCCGACCGAAGTTCGCTCGAGATGGGGTTCTGTCTTGATTGCGTAAGTCCCTTGTTCTCGATACTCCAGAACTCTGAAGCATTTTTAACATATCATCTTCGATTTCATAGATGTATCTTCGTGTACACGGCCACTTTCGGAGCCAGTGCGTGTTCATCTCTATTATGTTCTGCTTTTTATTTCATCTTACAAAAGGTTAATGATTTTGATTTTTGGTCTGAATAGCTTGGTTGACAGTTCCTTGGTTGTATCCAACTGAGATTATGCCAAATTCGTGTAGATCTAAAGGTGGTGCTGTGAGTTCATACATGTTGCCATGTTTTGACAAGATATTATTGAGACTGAACTTTGGTCTTTCTTTTCGACAGTGGAGTGTCGTAGGTTGGTCTATTGGAAATGGAATTGTCACGGAAATCACTCCGTTCTTACTCAATGCCATTGGATTTTGGACTTTTATCTTGTTAGTGATTTGAATATCATATCTATAAGACTTCTACTTCTCCTGAATTATAACTAATTGGATCTTTGTTTGAAATTCATCTAGATTTGGCGGACTTTGTATCTTCACAATCCCAAATATCTACTTCCTTTACGTAAGTTGAATTGTCTTCCTACCTGTAAAGAATACTGTCGAACCATTCCAATTTTGATCAATTTTTTTTGTTTTTAGCCCGAAACTGCCGGAAGAAGTTTAGAAGATATGGACGTCTTATTTGAATCAGATACGATTTTTGTCCATAGTAAGACCACAAAATTCCATCCTACTGCAAAGAAAGGTGAAATGACTTTGGAGATGGTAAATCCGGATGGACATGTACCTTGGGTTTCGATACCTATCAATAAATCAAATTGATAGGAATTTTTGTTTTAATATCTTTGATCATTTAATTTATTTTTGTTGTTGTTGTTGTATCTTTTAATAATTTAATTGTTTGAAACCATGAAAGTCGATCACGATTCGAAATGGAAGTAATCGTATATCTCAAATCCTTTATACATTTTATCCTTTTTTTGCTTTCAGTTTCGTGTAAATGTTGCAAACATCTCCAATGCAAAAGGGTACGTGAGTGATAAATATCATTGCCTATGCCATATCTTCCAACCTGGAGATAACACAAGATTCTCTTCCACTGCTCAGCCTACAAGAAAAGAGGTCACCTTTTCTGTTGGGATGACAGAATCCCTACAAGATGTTCAATACATATACCCCATTCCACAGCTGGATTCAATGGATGGCTTGAGTCAAGCGCGCTCTTGAACACTGGATGACTCTTTATCTCAACACGGACAAACCATGTCCGATGAGATTTGTTCTCACAATGATAGGCACAAATGCTAACCTAGGTGATAGGATATTTGGCTGCATAGATGGTTCCTACCACATTGCGACTGCGGCATCCAGCTCCCGTGGACACTCTTGGACGGCGCCATTGGACCGAATGCAATTTGGTCGGCCTGGGAGTGTACTTTCTACCAAATACGGAAGGCATTTAGGGACGTATCCGATTTTAGGGCTACAATTCACCAACATAAGGCTCTAGTTGCACATTGCTAATAGTCTGTGTTGTGCTTGCGCTGAATGCACGTAGCTAAAGAGTGAGTAAGGACATCAACCTCTATACAACTCGAAGTCATTGGCGGCCAGATATGAGACAGGACAACGACCTGACGAGGCATCTTCCTTTCGAGGTGGGCAAAGCCGAGCATTCTGGACCAGAGTTACTCAACTAATGGCAGATTCAAAGTCCACTATATCATCAGTGGGGAGGAAAACAGATCGGACCGAGATTAAATCGAAGAACGCATGTGGTGCAACTCGGAGTATGGCTCAGGATTGTATGAGTTATATCATCTTGAAGCAAGCTATCTCAGTTGGATTTCATTGAAATCAATATCATAGAGCGATTCTAACTTTGATCGATCCAGATTGTAGCATCGATCTTTTGGAATAGTGCGGTCACATCAGGATGTTGCAGACTTGGAGGGATCAATTTCTTCTTGAGCCTTTACCCAGGTCTAAAATTCACATATACAAATAAAATAGGAAAGGAAAGGTTAGAGATTTATTGACACTAGGTTGTGCAATGGGGACAAAAAAGATCCAGAAAAAAAACTGACTTGTTCCCCGGCTTTACCGGCTTCCCAGGTCTGATAACGCAGGTTAGTCTTCGCTCGAGTCTCAGCTTTACCCTTGAACTCTTCTTTCAAAGCTCGTTGAGTGGCACGGGCCGTGATAGTAAGGTACTTATTGAAGCTATCCATATGAAAAGCATTATGATCAGAAAAGTTGTCCCAATGAGATTCAGGGAAAGACACTAACCCGAAGTGTGCACGCCAGGCAGACATGATGATCAATGGAGTTGTTGATGTTGTTTGGTGTGGTATTGGTGGTGGTTCGATTGTCGAGGCTCGTCAGAGATATGGGAGGGAAACAATAGGAAGTGGGCTGAAGTGGATCGATGAACGAAAGGAGAGGCGAGATTCGCTATACACATATCGGTTCATATGCTTCAATCGAGGCTACGAAGACCGGGTCAAACCGGAAGGTCTTTGACTTTTTCGGGTAATGTGACGGTACGGGCAGACAAGCTTCACGCCTGGTAAGAGTTTCATAGACAACGCTTCTGATATTTTTGAAGAGCTTTTGATTTCACATATCGCGCTCACTTTCTACGTAATTTGTCTATCTTTATAACGAACTACCAAGTCGTTAGATTCTGATGCTGTGAAACTACGTCGCTATATAAAAATGAATGCAGACCTGTTTGGAGCTGTTCGAATGCCATGTCCAGGTGAAGGAGTTCAAGCTCCAGGGGGTTGATGGGCTCTGGATGCATGTTAAATGTGTTGGGCATCCTCGTCAACGATTTTCGTAGCCTTGTTGCTGAAATATACAGGAATAATGTGATGGAATTGATATAATTGATATACATACATAATTGGATGGTTTGCTCATCATTCAATTTCCGGGATTTACCTTCGAATCCTTTGACTCTAACCATCACTGGCGCCACATTCTCAATATTCAGGCCTTTTTGTGCCTCTGATCTTATTCTAATGGCACCTTTAGAATGGGTTTGATGACCATGTCTCATAACCTCGACTCCCTCCAAATCCATTGAGATGCTGCTGAGCTCTTAGCATTCACCTATTTAAGAAGTCATCCAACAATGATAATATGGCTTCAAACCCAGTATTGCGGGCCTTGCCTAGATTCACGAGAACGAAAAATCTACATGTTCATTGTGCACATTATTATATAAGAGATAAACTATAAACTTCCACAAAAATCTATCTGAACGTCGATGAATAAAATCCCGTCTCGAAGGAATTATGAGGAAAACAAGATAAATACGAGTTGTTTATGATATTCTTGTGTTGAGTAGATGAGAACTTGCAACAATCTCACACGCGTATACAAACAGGTACAAAGAAACAGATAAGGATGATAGAGTAAATAAAAGATACTCTAAAATCCCTTTCTAAAACAATTCGGGTCTCCTTTCCAATTTGAAAAAAATCTGCCATCATCTAAATCATTTTAATCATTCTTTAAGACTTTAGTCTTACTTTCTTTAGTAGAATTCGCCAATTTTTGTTTCTTCTGATATGATCGAATATAGAAAGAGACAAAAAGACCAGTTAAAGGTATCAAGTCTGTTCTCACACAATTTTTTGAAAAAGAAGAAGATAATTCAGTAAAACGTTTTTTATTCATCAATTTGCCATTAGAATGAGCAGAGAGAAATGATACGGACATCCGACTCCTCCTAAGACGGTTAGTTTCTGGCCGGGAGTGTGTAAGCAAGCTTTCTCATCAAAAGCATTTCCAAGACGTTCAAACCCCTTAGATCCTGAAAGTGGTGTCCATTCGAATTTCGATACTTCTCCTAGAGTTGGAGGGCTAACTAGCATTGTAAGTGCACCGAGTGAACCTCCCACAACAAATTGAGTGATCTGAATCTTTGTCAGAGATCTTTTGAGCACAGCAGGAAAGGGTAGGTGGAGGGCTGAGATAGCGTAGTAGCTGTACATGATGGTATGTACTAAGCTGTTGAAGACTACGAAGAGCCACGAAGCTGGGGATTCGTAGCGTGTACCACTCCAAACCGTCATGATAGCGCCCTAAAAGACCGAAAACGCGAAAATTGGACGCGTATGCAGAAGTTTAGCTCGTTTGAAGGGTATCAAGCAGAATTTCCCTCAGAGGGAAGTATCATGTACTCACAGCATGATGATATTCTTGTAAAAGGCTTGCTTTTCTTCCTTTACCAATCAAAATTAAACTATCAATAATCTCCCAGTACTTGCTGAGATAGAACCAATAACTGTAAGTTGACATAGTATTATCCCATAAATGCATTGAGGTATCACAAAAGGTGTGTAAGATTCCATCGAGACCTGCGCTGCGATATCCCCGTAAGAAGTATTGGAATGTTCCGGCGGCAGTTCCTTTGAACGTCCAAAAACTGTAAGCCTATGACAACGATTTGGGGACTCAAGTTTTTCAGTCAGAAACTCTTGAAACTTCGTAAAATCTCAACCTAGACGAACTCACCGCCAATAGTAGATTATGGACCACCACAGCAGCCTTCCACCATTCTCCTTTCATCCTATTCTTTCCATCTTGTTGACGATTTAACCATCCAATCATAGCTACATATGCTATCACAGCTGTAACGGGGAACATAGGTTGGAGGGTGAACTCATATAGACTTTGACTTATTGGGATTCTAGGTGGTATCTTGGGATAAGGATGATTTGCTACGCCTTGAAAGAAATTGAAGAGTGAATTACTAGCTGCGGGATAAACCACAGATGACGAACCGAAGCCGGTTTCATTTTGAGGGATACTTCCGAGATCCATCTAGGGCTTGAACTTAATTTGACTACTTAGGAATAGAGATAATCTTTGCTTTTCAAGGTGTCGAGTTGATGCTGTTCGAATGTGTATATTCGATTGACTGGAAGGCAAGATTGTGATGACGCAGGCTTGGGAGATCACTCCTCGGTTCCTGTTGGCAAATTTCAAAACCAAACAGTACTTAGATGAAAGGCCACCAAAAGCTGTTGCGCCTTCTTATTCTGGTATCGGATTGAGACCGAAGAAGCTATTGCTAGAGATCAAGCAATTATAAACCTTCATAGAGGATATCAAAATTTCTCAAAGTTAGCCCTAACTCATAGAAAAATAAGTGTTGTTAATCTTGAGCGCAAATGATATTTATTTGCTTGAATTTCTCAACTCGGCGTTTGACAAATGTGATCTTTGCATATGTTTCAAGGAAAGAAACTCACCGAAGAGAGTGATATACCCAGGTATGCTGCCAGAACAATTGCTCACTTAGATTCGAAATCCACAGAATGAGAGAACTTTGTATTTCTCTTGATTTTTAGGATTTGGTTACTCTTGTAGACTTATTAGGAGGATTGATAAAGCGCGGAAGTAAAGCAAGATTTATTATGATGCAAGGCAAGGGATATCATATACCAGTTGGAAGAAGGGTCAATTTATCTACCTGATCGAACCGCCTGAACTTGGTATCCTTCTTGACTTTGGATATTAATTGAGCCTGATTCCTTGGGATGATACTTCTAAAGTAGAAGGAGCTCGAGTTTGAAAGATTGATGGTCCGAAGAAATGTGGAGGTATGCGCTCTGATGACTTACGTAGCCGTTGAAGAGGAGCAGATTTTTATAGCACTTTCTCAGACAGTCCCTTTTCCTCCACTGATCGGCTTCCCACTGAGAGGTATGGCAAGCAAGTCTCGTGCGAGTTGGGCTTCACAACATAGTTCAGGATCAAGAAATATCCAAACTAACATCAGGAGAGAGTGTTACTTCCATTGAGCGTTGAAAGTCCAGTGACGGATCTTGATGACACGATCGGAATAAGACGGTGGAGCGTCTTACGGGGTTAAGATTCTGCTCCTTAAAAGTTCCCCCGGTGCCGATAATCAACTCCTGTTCCAAGTTTGCGAATCACTGCTGGCGAGTAGTAATAAGTAGGACCCTATCTTCACAGGGGAAAAGCTTGTCTTTACCTTTGCTATGAGGTAGATGAAGTCAACCTTTGTCTTTTCACGCAAGTTTTCAAGTGAAAGACTTCAATCACGAATATTTGTCTTAGTGTGCTAGTCTGGTTCTGGGGTGTTCAGTGAACCACGAACCTCACTTCTCGTTGAGCCTAGCGAGTCTTCGTTTTCTCCCAACGTCTAACTCCTAGCTGTCACACATATATGGGGAGATTGAGGATTTCACAGCATCAGTAGAAGACCAGCAACCCATCGAAGAATATGGATCTGCACATCTTGGGGCCCATGTATTGCCCCGATGGAGCTATATGCCATGTTATGTTCAAGTTGTCTAAAAGGCTCATAGGGTAGCATAGTTCTCCCTACACAGTGGTTCAAACCATGCAAATCTTCATCGGAGTCGGAACCCAGTTCGGCAACCACGTTATGGACCATAATCGTACTCCAAAAGCTTTTACCCGAGTCCATCCGCAAAACTTGAGCAAAACAACGGGAAATTGGGGGGAACCGCATCAATTGTACTGCTTGATTTAGAATTACAAATCTCGACTCGTCGATCAAGGAGACTATGTAGCAAAGTCCTTACTGGTCGTTTTCAAGTCTTGTGCAATACAGTCTTTATTCGGCTTGGAGCACGCAATCAAGCAATCATACGACGTCTACCAGATCATATAGCAAGACTTTAACACATCCTACTGAAGTCATATTGGATCTTTTGTCGCTCAAGATCTTTCAGACTTCAATTGACTTTTAAGGCTGAGATAAGAAGGCCATAGGTGAGGCACAACCAAGAATCACCTGAGGCGGAGATTAGTCCATACAAGACAGAAAGAAGCAGAGATATCATGCAGGACCCAGGAATGCTCCTGTAGAGGTTGGTGTCGAAACCCGATTTTGGGTTTTTGGGCTCTATACTGCACACCAGTGCTCGCCTCAGGCTGCAAAGCACCTCAAAAGATGCGCATGGGTGAGGGCTATCCAGAAATATAGGTTAGAGCCGCACCGCTTTGCTCACTGCGGCGTAAATCGCAAAGGCGCGATTTTTTTTTGGGTCCCCAAGGCCCCATTCCGACCTTCGATTTTTGACTGTTACATTGCAATATCTCAGCGAAAAGGGGTACTACAGGGTTGAAAATAGGCTCATTCGAAAGCTCTCGTCTAGGCGCATCTTTTGAGCTACTGTAGCCCTTGTAGAAGTGTCGGCGAGTGTGTCTATCACCCAAAAACCTCGCAGAATCAAGGTCGGAATTTACGACACCAACCTCTACAAGAGCATTCCTGGGTCCTTATCATGCCGCCCTCGAAGGGCAGAATCTTCGGGAAGCATCGATACCTCCGGCGATGTATGAGGATCACCATTCAAGATTCAAATCACAACGCCTTTGATCGCCAAATCTACAGGCTCAGCCAAACTTAACTAAGTCCCCAGCTGGACCTAACCACCACCCTGGAGTTGGTGGTTCGGTCCAGCTGGGGACTTAGTTAAGTTTGAGGCTCAGCGGTCACGAAAGAATTGCACGTGTAAGTTCTACCTTACAAGTGCCCCCACCCAACACTAGGACTTGATGGTCTGGGCGAGGATCAATCTGGAAGACTGCGATCACGCAAAACCGCACACATCCACATAACTGAGACAACATATGAGATCATTACACAGACACAACGGAGATATTACATAACAACTTTCAGGGTCTCTTCTGTGTTGGCAAGGTAGGCTATAGCTAAGAGTTGTTCAACCCCAACTCTTAGGGTGTTTGCTCAAGCAAGCTCTGATCAGATTGCAATTGTGTAAATTTAAAATGCAGAAATACACATTTAGCAGGATGGGCATATGAAATGTTAGCTACTTTAGAATGGAGATGCGAAAAAATTTGTTCTGTGTAATGAAATCAATTTTTGTGTCTGTAATCTCTTTCAAGTCTTTCTCAGTTCAAGCTGTGCTTTTGAATCAAAGGAATGCTTGTTCTAGCCTTCTGATACATATGGATCCTCCATCATAGGGTGATTGATCAATCCTCCATGACTGCTACAATTGTGAACTCACAGCTGACCTGTGTAGATTCCTTGTTTTCTTGGCCACTCAAGATCATTGAAGAATTTGGAACATTCTTCCCATGAATTCCTTTTCAATAGCTGTCATGCTGCATGAGAACATATAATTTGTGTGGTTCCTGATTAGGCAAGTAAGCCTATTTTTTTTGAGTTCCATTGCTCCATGGTTGGAGTGCATTCACAAGGTATGTAGGCTGAACTGGAAGTTTCAGATCATCTTCTTCCTTTAGTGATGCTCAATCACATATAGCACAAGGATTATACTACACAGCCTCAACAGGTCTCCAAACATTTAGAATGAGGAGACACTTTCCTTGCTTTATGGATTCCCCAAACTCAACTTTACTTGTATCCTTTGACTTGAGGAAATGCTCCTGTATCTGGTGTATCTCAAACTTCTGCTGAAATCTCAGAGCAGACTGCTGACAAAGGATCCATGGTTTCTTGATTTCAAACACCTCTGTGGCCAAATGAAAAGCATTATGTCTTGCTGTCCCTTGTCCTGACTAAATAAACATAGCTAGTAAGTCTTTATTGTGACTGTGTATCTAGGAATGACTTTATTTTTGTCAAAATAAAATCAAGACTGTCACAGATAGACAGACAGGGAATGTGTAGTTTTCTTATTACTTTAATGAACATTTTCCCCAATATCTTTAATTTTTGTCAACTCCACTAGTTTTGTTGAAGTGTGCAATCGACGGAAATAAGAAAAGTTACAAATTGGATAAAAGAGGAATTACGAGAGTAGTGTGGAAAGATAAACCAGAATACGTCATAAAAACGAAAAGAGAAATTACATCATTATATTGCCCCAACGTATTGACTAGTAGATTACTTATGATGTCCTTTGATCAATTCAACTGACTTCTCTTCCCCATCTTTGGGAAGAGGAAACATCAGTCTCTTGTTAACTCAGAGATCAGTTATCAACTGAGAGATAACTTAACTAACTAAACGTATCATCTATTAAATTGAATCTTCTGTTCTAGGTCAGAGTCTTCTTCTTAGAAAAGTTGTTGGAGGTTGTCATAGTTGTGCTAAAGCGCATGCTTTCAGATCTTTGGCATAGAACCGTGATCAAAGACATCTAGACATTCTTATGGTAGCGAGAGTTTTATCAATCAATCCCACACACGAATGAGCCTCAATCCTCTTGAAGATCTCAACAAGTTCTTTGCCCAATCAACCAGTCCTAATCCTTCAACTGTAAACTCGGAAGACGAAGCCAACGAGACCTTTAACCCTTCATCATTACTTAGACCTCCATCTTTAAACAATCCTCTTCAATCATTAAACCCATCCTCATTATCAATGAGTTCCAATCCAAATCCAGCAATGACCGCCTCAAATGTTTCAAATGACTTAAGCCATCAACAACAAGCAATGTTATTAAATCAAGCATTAGGAAGATCTATGAAGACGCTGACTGATGATAACTATATGTTATGGGCTTCGTTCATTAGAACAGGTCTGAAATCATATTTCTTATCAGAATACTTGACATCTGATGAAATTAAAATCAAGAATAGCCAATTTAGTGACAAAGTTAGTAGAGCTTGTATCACTAACTGGATACTCAATAACATGGATGACATCAATCGAGCTGGATTCGAACCGAAAATCACCATCTACAGAGACGATGGACCAGACACTCAAAATTTACCTTCGAAATTATGGAAGGCTATAACCAATCATCACTCGAGCAGATCAGAAGAGCTCCGATTGT